AGGGTGGCATCGCAACCTCCCAATCCGCCCTGCTCTGTGCATGACAGGGGGCGGTGCCCCAACTCCCCAATCGGCCCTGCTCTGAGCCTGACCAGGGGCTGCACTTAGGAATTGGGCCTGCCCTCTGCCACCCGGGAGCAGGCCTAAGCCAGCAGGTCGTTATCTCCTGAGGGGTCCCAGACTTCGAGAGGGCACAGGCCGGGCTGGGGGACCCCCCTCCCCCGCCCCCCAAGTGCACAAATTTTTGTGCACCAGGCCTCTAGTAAAATTATAATATAATATTTTGAGATAAACTTAATACTATGTATCATTAGAATATATATCATTATCTATTAAAGATATAATTTAAACTAGGATTTAGACAAAAAGACAAAATAATACCTTTATAAAACCTTATGGGTGAAAGTCTAACAAATATAAGGAGAAGCTCAGCGTAAACATTTAAAAGTTTGACTGGAATTTTCCACTTTTTTTTAATGAAGGTTGTAAGGAATTGTTGATATTGACTGAATCACACAGGTAGGCCAAATATATACCTTTGATTTTTACATCGATGCCTTCTTTCTGAATATAATCTGCCTCGACCATGATAAAAGAGTAATAAGCATATCCTGATTTTGCAGTGTCGTCATCAGTGATCATCATATGGACAAACTCATCTTCTGTGTAATGGATGGTCTTTTGTTAGAAACAGAAGGACCAACCTGAAAAACATGTACTCGCAAGAATGATTATTGAAGAGTATTTTCTATGGCCATAGATGATTAAATCACAGCTCCTAGTATGGAGCATGAGAATGAGTCATATGGGAAAATAAGTTTGAAATCAATGTGCATTCTGCAAGCACAGCATTTTATAGTTACGAGTATATTGTCCTTGTGTCTGTTACATTTCCTGAGGGCTATAGAGGATTTTAAAATACGTGGTGCATCTGAAAAAGAGCTCAAACATTCGTTTCTCTAAGAAATTGGAAATGAAATAGATGGCAAGAATGTCACCCAACATAAAATTGAGATAATGGTCTCCTGTGTATAGCATGCTTCAAACATAAATCATCACTGTTAGTGACAAGCAAGAATTTACAAAAGTGAGGTCTGCACTGTATCCATAAAAATATAGGCTGCATCCATGTAGTTACTGGACTTACTGCTTTTACAGAAATAGTTTATCCATTCAAACATTTGCTCAGGTTTAGACTATCAATTTTGCTGACTTTTCTCTAAATTGAAAAGATTTTGACTGAAGTAAGTGAACTAGCCAATTGTTTTGGATTCCTGTAGTTATATCTATGAATATGATGGCCAAAGAAATAGGAAATGACCCTGGCCAGTGTGGCTCCATTGTTTGAAGCGCTGTCTCTTGCACCATCCAAAGGGTTGTGGGTTCAATTTCTGATCAAAGCACATACCTGGATTGTGGGTTCAATCCCCAGTCCATTGGGGCACATAGGGGAAGCAACTGATTGATGTTTCTTTCTCACATTGATGTTTCTCTCTCTCTCCCTCTCCCTTCATCTCTCTCTAAATAATAATAATAATAATAATAATAATAGAGGCACAGTCTCAGGTGAGGATTTTAAAAAAGTAAGAAATGCTTATTTGTATAATATATAGTGCAAGGTCTAATTTTTAAAATCAAATATATATAAAAACTAGTATTAGGTACATTAGTAATTGTTAACATTTTAGTTCAATACTTAAGTTATACTGGTAGCATCATGAAAGGGAAAGTGAGTGAGTAAAAAAAAAACAGACTACAATCTCGAGCTGATAAAGGCCATATAGGACTTGCATAGGCCTATTTATGAAAGAGGAGTCACACCATGGTAGGCACAGTGCGGTGTTGTCATGGTCTTTATTTAGAAGTCCAATGTGAGTTAAATGCCATTTATGAATGCTGAGTTGAACAGAGGGGTGGGCTGTATTGAATTGTCTGTTGACAAGTCAGTATGACAATAATCTCATTCTAAGTTTTCTCTTAAGAAAGGTCAGAAATTGAGTTTCCCCAAATCCTTTTTCCAATGGTCCAGGTTAAACTTCTCCAACGAGAGGCACTCACTTGAGATTTGGAGGCTGAAAAGGGCAAGAATCATCATCTCTAAAAGCACTTATAGTCGGATGTGTGGTCAGGTGTGTGACTCACAGCCACTTGCTCCCCTGTGAGCTCTGGGAACAGCTCACGCTGCTACTGCATGAAATGATCATGCGTGGGAGCTTCCCAGAAAGTCCTATAATTTGTGTGTATCACCAGCAAACTCTTTGCTACTTCAAGCTGAGAAAAATCACTAGTAGTTTCCCTGACTTTTGCTTCCCCTGTTCTTCCAATTATTGGGTAAGTTCCTAATTCTCTATATTAATGTATTTAATACCTGAAAGTACAGAAAGGCTGCCGTTGACTAATATATTCCCATTGAAGGACATGTTTGAGAATTTCTAACACCACTTTTTGTCAGAAAACTTACTGCAGTGAAAGGTGAGAAATACGATCTTTTTCAAGATGGCTATATGCCAGCTTAAAATCCAGGATTCTATTACTAAGCAACAAGAAGAGTGTGATATTGATGGCAACCTTGCCTCCAATTACATGATCCATTTTTTTTTTGGAGAGGTTTTCTCTTATTCATTCGAGGAGTCTCTCTTTAGCTATTTTTCATACTACTATATTTAGAGGTCAGAAGCCTCAAGCTAAAGGACATAAACACCAGACATCTATATGAGAGAAATTCTCTTGTCTCCACTGGATTTTTTTACTTTATTTTCCCTATTAATTTACTCAAGATGTCATTTTGACCTTATCAAATTACACATGCACAAGCATTCAAGCATTATTTTACACCTCTCTGAGCCTCAGTTTCTTCAATTATTAAAGAGAAACAATAACACTTTTGCCCTGCTTACTTCTCAGGGATATTCTAGTAATAAAATGAGATAATTGCTCTGGCCCACTTTGCTCACTGGCTAGAGTGTTGGGCTGCAAACCAAAGGGTCGCAGGTCTAATTCCTGGTCTTGGGCATGTACCTGGGTTTCAGGTTCGATCCCCAGCCAGGTCAGGGCACATGTGGGAGACAACGAATCAATGTGTCTCTCTCACATGGATGTTTCTCTTGCTCCCTCCTCCTCTCTCTTTCTTTCCCCCTCAACCCCTCTCTCCCTTCTGGTCTCTCTACAAATCAATGGAAAAATATATTTTGGTGAGGATTAACAAAAAAAAAAATGTGCTGGACATAAAAACATTTTGTGACTGACAAAGCCCTATGCGTATTTAAAGCATTATAATTAGCATTACTTTCGTGACTGTACCAAAGTGTTCTATTGATTCATTTTGCAAAAGTCCTTGTCTCAGAAGGACTATCCATGGCTCTGGCAGGACCATGAAATGGATAAAGTCACCTTCTTTGCTATTTCTTCTGGCGCCTTTAAGTAACGCAGAGCCAAAAGGTCAGCTGAGTCATACTTCCCACAACAGGATGACCCCACAAGTGTGTTCTTGCCACTGGCAATGCTGCTTGTGAATCTTAACATTCACGGTCAGTGCTTCTGGGCTGACAGTTGGGATTTAAAATACTTGTAGCTAAATCATAAGAGCAGCTGAAAAGCACAGGCCATCTGCCGCAGGTGTGCACGAAAACACCCTCAAATTAATCAAGTCCACATTGACACCCATTAACAAACATTGAGTGGTGCAAGTTCTCGTCAGTAGCCTTATTCGGGGTAAGCTCCAGAATGAATCTCTAAGCTTTGTGTCTTACTCACAGGAAACAATCACTGTCCTCAGCCAGGTGTATTCTGACAGAATGCTGTTCACATGGCAACATCCATCAGCCCCGGTGGAAGCTGGCGACCTGGCACATCTTGGCTTTGCACCTCATCTGTCTGGTCTGGACATTTATTGAATAGATGCTTGTGCTGCAGACAGAATTTTATCTATCTCATTACAAACCATTGCATTGACTTCATCAGCCACAAAAATAGCCAAAGTGCACAGTAAGCCCTGGGCTTACATTCCCAGGAAGTGGAAGCCTACATGTGCAGTTTATCTTTGCTCTTCTTGAGTGCACGCATCTGCTTTGTGTGTCGTGCTTCTGACTGTCATGTATGTCATGTACTCATGATGCTCATGGAACATCCAAGTCCCCATGCTCAGCTTCCATACATGCTCCAGGTATACCAGAAAACTCCCAGCTAGAAATTTCAATTATTTTTTATTGGGAAATAGTTGAAATAATCTATCTTGAAATGGGTCTTAAATGATCTGACATATGTTCTTATATCATAATAGAAGCTGCTTTATAAGGAGTAGCCTGGCAATAAGCCAGTGGATTATACTCAAATACATGTAGATTTATCGATTCTTACTACCCTTTCCTCCTCCATTAAACAAAATAGTGTGCACATGTATATACTTATGATTGGAAAAAAAACTAAAAAAATACTCCCCAAACAGAGATTTCTTAGTAAAAGTTTTGTGGGAAATTTAAGTAAAGCCAGGAGACTTAAGCCTATAGCCCTGCTGTAGCCACTGGCCCTGTGCCATTATTTGGCACTCCCAATGTGGCTACTGCAACTCAAGATCTCAATATTAAATTTAATTTGTTTGAATTTGCATTTAGAAACAAATGGTGTATATATTTTTTCCATTGAACATAGTTCTAAACTCACTTTAACCATTGAAAATTTAAGTCCAAATTGAGAGGTGCTATTAGTGTAGAATAAACAACAGATTTTGAAGACTTATTATAAAAAACAATACTATAAAATATTAAAAATGTAGAATAATATCTCAATAATTAAATATCTCAATAATATGTAGAATAATTTCTCAATAATATATCAATATCTCAATATTGACCATGGATTAAAATGATAATGTTTTAGACATATTGGGTTAAATATATTGTATTATTGATTTTTAAGAGTTTTTATTAAAAATGTTTAATGTTGACATTATTGCAGACTTCCTCCCAAATTAGTATCACCTGTTTACTTTTGTTTAATGTGGCTACTATAAATTTTACATACACATATGGTATATGTTACTTGCATTATATTTTTATTAGACAGCATTGCCAAAAAGACATAGTCAACAAAGTTTCCTATCTCTTGATATCTCCCTTTACTTTCAGTGAGGTTTACTTTGAATTCCTACCCAAGAGTCTATATTTCCAGACCTGTTTTGGTTCAGGCATGAATGCATACAACAGACTAACATCTCAGAGGATAGGGTGTGTGCGTGGGGAAGGCGGGGG